AAATGCAGATTCTAGGGATCAGAAACTCTGCTGGGGAGACAGCAACAGACGTGTCTTCACAAGCCCTCCGGGATATTCTGACAGACTCCAAATAAAGTTTGAGATCCAGCGCCTTCCGGCATGGCACGGTTGGGAAGGAAAGGATGGTAGGGAAAGGATCCATCTGGCAGTGTGACGGAATACTGAGATGAAACATAATATCAAAAATTAGTCCATGTGACGTAGACATGGGAGTGGGAAGGGAAGATAAGAAGCCAGGTACCTCCCAGGTCTGAGGCATCACTGCAACATGATGGAGGGGACCTGTTTACAGCCTGGACTTGATGTCCCAGGCCACATGGCCTGGTGGGGTCTCTTCTTCATTGAGGGTGTCTGGCTCTGCCACAGCAGCTTCCGTGGGTGCTCTCATTCTTCCAAGACAGGCCCCTTCTTAGAGATTTGGGGCCTGCTCCCAATAGTCTTACGTGCTGACAGAAGGTGCTGTGTTGAATGAATGTCACCTCTCCTGCACACCTTACTCGGCCGACTGGACTGGCCCAGTCTTAGCCCCAGCCTCCCACCTCAGAGCAAGAAGAGGGCCATCATTCCTGGTCCATTTCATCCTACTTCAGTTAACTAACCAATCTCCGACTTGTCACAGGCTTACCTAATGAGTATTAGCTCATATTTGGGCACAGATTATAATGCTCCATTGAAAAAGGGCTTCATATAGCACACGTCACTAACAAGCCTTCTTTTCACTTACACCAGCTATTTTCCTTGGCATTGTCTAGAATGATGTTTCCCCTAACATGTTTCTAAGAGCTAATACATATGAAAATGGTCTGCGGCTCAGTAAATCTGGAAAATACTAGGCTAACCATGTTTAACCAAGTGCATTTCATGCAGAACTTCTCAGAGCCTCTAATCCACTAAAAGCCACTGTAAATTTCCACACCGGCAAACTGTACAACAAACCCTTACAAGTATCCTTGCCTGTCGAATGCATGTACAGATTATGGCTCAGAGAGGCATGTTTTAGGAAATCTTTCTTTAAAGTTTAATGGGGGGATCCCTGGGTGGCGTAGCGGTTTGGCGCCTGCCTTTGGCCCAGGGCGCGATCCTGGAGACCCGGGATCGAATCCCACATCGGGCTCCCGGTGCATGCAGCCTGCTTCTCCCTCTGCCTATGTCTCTGCCTCTCTCTCTCTCTCTGTGACTATCATAAATAAATAAAAATTTAAAAAAAATTAAAAAAAAATAAAGTTTAATGGGTAAACTCTTACGAAAAACTCTACGAATTAAGGAAGCGGCGAAAGAGGCCTTTTTTGACGTACTAGTAATGAGATCTTGTTTCTAGAGTTTTAAAAACAATCATACAATAGTTTAAAATAATGGCAGATCCTTTCGATAAAGATCCGAGTTTTCAAAATAACTTAACTTTGCAGAATTCATGAACGTAAAGAGATGGAGCTGCTACCGTGAACAACTCAAGGAAATAACATGAATTTTGAGTCCAGGCATCATGCAGTGCAGAGGCCCTACAAACAAGAGCTCTGCAACTGACCAGGGGAGAGGGAGCTGACTCCCATCCTATGGCAGGATAGAAGATTCCATTTGTTTTCAAAGGCTGGGCCTTGCTTTGTGCTTAGGGAAAAATAGTTACAGCTTTGAAGTTTTGGCCTCCGACAGAATGGTATACTTTATTCTAGAGTAAGGTGAGAATCATATGCTGCTTGGATAGTGGTTTTTTTTTTTTTCTTGGATAGTGTTAATCATTAATTTTACTTTTTTCTCTTCTTTATCCAAAGGATAAAAAGCTTTGAGCACTGTCATTTCTTGACACTGGAGAATAGGCCGAATGAACCCTGTATTGTAAGGCTTAACAATAAAGCAATAATTTCTCCCATAATTGTTGAATAATTTAGGGTCTTTTTACCAGACAATAGCTTGATTGCTTTGCTAGGTTTCTTGACTTAAGGAGAAAGGTAGCAATAGTAAAAAATGGGTAAAGAAGAAAGCTTGAGGCTGGAAGATAAGGCCAGGATATGTATGCAATTAGCACTGAAGGTGCTATCAAGTTAATCCTCTGGGGGTGTCAGACACCCAGGATGACTTGCAGATCAAATTAGGAGAGAATTCTAGAGACATTTTATTTAAAAGGCATCAAATACAGCTCAATTTTAATATAAATTATGTTTTTGTGAGTACAGAATGTGAATTAATTACGTTCTTGAACATTTACCTGCAGTAGGTACATTTGGACACCTTCCTAGCCAGGCACTGTGCAATGAGACACAGTGAATTTAACAGTGAGCAAGACTTGGGGAGCTTACTTTCTAGTGTGGGGGGGGGGGCTAACAAGCGAGCAAACACTGAAGCCACTAATGAGGGTGGTAAGCCATACAAGGAAAGAATGAGTACGGTGATAGATCCTAGTACTTTCAGATGAAATGACCCTATAAGGCCTTTGAGGAGAGGACTTGAAAAGTGTGAATGGAAGGATGAGAAGTGAGATATCCAAAGAAATACAAGGTAGGGGATGTGGAACATTCTAGGCAAAGGGAATAATAGCAAGTGGAAAGACTCATGTTATGAAAGAGCTTGGCAGGTTGCATCTGAACGGAAAGAAGTCCAGCGTGGTCGAAAGTATAAGGATCAACAAAGAGAGTTCCAGAAGATGACATTGCAGGGGCAGGCAGAATCCTGATCCTGTAGGACAGCAGGAAACCCTGCACAGATTTTGCTGGGGGTGGGGATAGTGGATTTTGGATTTCTGAGCTCCAGAACCGCTAAGAGAATCAGTATCTGTTGTTTTAGGTCACCAGGTTTGTGGTAATCATTACAGCAGCCCTAGGAAATTAATACACTTCGGCAGGAAAAGATTTTCCCTGTCCTGTGCGCGTCTACCCGCACCCCTACCCATCTGAGAGAAACAAGACCATTAGGTGATTAGTGCAATCAACTGAATCTATAATATAATATAGTGGATTCCTCATTGATTCCGTGCATGGTCCTCAGTCCTAGATCTTGAAGAACTTTCTCCTAGCCTTATCGGGCATGATCAGATTAAGGAGGAATAATACACTCGTAGGAGTGTATAAACCACACCGCTGATTTGTTGGTTTATTCATGAAAATATAAATACTAAATGACTCTGCTTACTCAGATCGGCCCCTAACGCACTGCTCTGTCTTGTCTGGGAAATGCAAAGTCAGAATGAGGCAATGAGTTTATCTCGATGGCTGAGGTTACCAAATCTCACAGCCTGGTGCATTCACCTCCTCCTTGGGATTAGGACATTTACATTAGACAGGTGATCTCTCTCTCCTGACTTTGCTGGGAGGTTCTGGCAAATTCTGTCTTGCAGATACCACCTTTCTAGAGTCCTTGAACGCTGTTTCAGCAACGTTCCTTCAGATGTGCTACAATGATTCAACGTCCATGTATAGTGCCTCCTCCGAGACTTGGGTCAGTGTCACCGGGAACGCTCGTACATCACCTCTTCATTGACTCATGGATTCATTCACAAAACGTTATTCAGTACTAAGTGCTAGACACTGCACTAGGATTTGAGACACAAAAGTAAGTAAGATGAAGGTCTTATTCTTCATGAATTTTATGGTTTTTTAGTAGATTAAATGCTTCTGTGTATTTCTTCTCAAGAGAACTGATCTCATCTATTTGTTGTGATTTCATTTTTTGCAGGATAACATTTCCTGACACTTACTGTCAACTTTAGGAAGGGTTCAACTGAGAACTTACAAACCAATCAAATCAATCCAATAAAATAATCTATAATTCAATGTTAGTTATGTCCTGTTTTGACTGTTTTATACAAGTAATAACATTTCACTAGTCTAGACTTTATGTGCTAGGGTGATAAAAGCCCTAGCACATAAAGTCTTCATGATGTTAACATTTCTACAAAACGGTGAAGAGATGGTTGTGGCTGTCTGTCAGAGTTGTGCCCTGGGTGGTCCCTTCTGACGGGTAGTTTTTATTCTCTAAGGGTGATAGACATTGTCATTGAATGCAACTTACTTTTTCCTAATTTTTCTCAAATCCAAACCTCAAGACTATTCAAGCAAATCACAAAGTCCCAAGCATGCCATCCACTCTAGTCTGCATACCTTGTACATCTAACCAGTGAACTTCTGGAGTTCTGGAGCCATAGCGGTTTTCACCAACATTTTCACAGAAAGACCCTGTCTGGTAAACTGTACTTCTTGGTTTGATATTACACATCAGTCCCTATGGTTTAAAAGTCAATGTCGAGGGATCCCTGGGTGGTGCAGCGGTTTAGCGCCTGCCTTTGGCCCAGGGCGCGATCCTGGAGACCCAGGATCGAATCCCACGTCAGGCTCCCAGTGCATGGACCCTGCTTCTCCCTCTGCCTGTGTCTCTGCCTCTCTCTCTCTGTGACTATCATAAAAAAAAAAAAAAAAAGTCAATGTCGATCAGAAACTAGTATAAACCAGGAAAGAAAGAAAAAAAAGAAAAAAAAAAGACTAGGAAAGACTAGTGGAAGAGGGATTTTGTGTGACCTAGAACACGTCATTTACGTCTGTTACCTTGTTTCTTCCTTTTAGTTAAATACTATATAGTTTTCCCAGTTTTAAAATTGAACAATTCTTCAAGAATCTCTGGAAAATATGATCACAAAAAGCGAAAAGTTCTTCTATCTATTTGTAAGGAACCAGGTCCATCTTACGGAAACCTTCAGAACAACTTCAGACAAATTCCACTTTGTGTGGTTTATCAAGCAGAGGAACAGCAGACAGTATCCTCGCTTTTTAAGAAGCTAACTCTTAATGGAAGGGAGAGACACCACTAAATGTAGACACACCCAACACCCACGGCTACTTTTAGTCAAACAACCTCTTTATTTCAAAGTTCTGTTTACAAAAAGACAAAAGAGGACAGGGAGTGGGGAGGCGGGAATGCTTGGTCACCCCCCCCCCCAGAGAGGAGAGGAAGAGGGGGGTAGCCAACAAACCTGGGTGTGACTGCCCGCCCTTCCCTGCCGTTATCAGCGACCGCAGAGAGCAAAGACCAAAAAGAAGTCCAGGCACGGACTGTGGGCTTGAGTTAACCGGATCAGTCTGTTTTCCGGGTGGCGGGGGGATGTGTCCGGTCCACGGACATCAGGGGGAGAAAGGCCGCGCGGGCAGGTTACTGAGGCCTTGGCTGTGGGCGGGAATGGGCCCGCCTCCTGGAAGGTCTGGGCTGCCGACCCCAGGGCCCGTAGGGGCCACGCGGTGCATAGCGGGGGACACCCCTGTGGACCACAGGGGCTCGCTGCAGGTAGGGTAAGGGGAAAGGGGCCCAGGAGGCCCAGGGGCCCAGAGGCCCAGAGGGCCAGGGGCTGGGGATCCATCATAAAGTCATCCTCAAAGGAAAAGCCCATCTGGGCAGGTAAGAGGACATCTGAATGGAAGTAGTTGGAGGAAAACTCATCCGACTGGAAAGACGGGCCGGAGGAAAAGTAAGCATCCTGGGGACCGCACAGGTACGGCGGCCTGGGCTGGGGGAGAGGAAAGGGCCGGGGCGGCGGGGGCGTGGGCAGCAGGGGGCAGCACCTGGCTTGGGGGGGCGCGCGTCCCCGCACAGGGAACCCCGGGGGGGCCCTGACCCACGTGCTCACGCAGTCGCGCCGGGGCAGCTCCACCCCCCAGGCGTCCGCCACGTGCGCCAGCAGCAGCTGCGACAGGTGGCGGTGCGCGCGCTCGTCCCAGTGCACTCCATCGCGCTGCCGGTGCTGGCCCGCGTGGCGGAAGTGGAAGTGCAAGTCCAGCACGTCGAAGCCGTGCCTCTTGGCCTCGGCGGAGCTGTAGAAGTTGGCCTCGATGACGCGCACGATGAGGGAGTCGTCGCCGGGCCGGTGGTCGGGCGGCAGGAAGCCCGCAGTGATCTGCTTGCCCACGGGCATGGCCGTGTTCCAGACCAGGAGGCACGACTCGGGCAGGACCTGGCCCAGGCGCCGGAACAGGCTCGCCAGGTTCTCCCGGTAGCTCCGCCAGGAGTCCGGGCCATACCTGGAGAGGTCCCAGAGGCAGGAGTTCATGATGACCACGTCCGGGGGGCCGTGCTCGCTGCCCTGCAGCTCTTGCAGGACGGTCTCGAGGTAGCTGGAGTACACGCGCGTGAGGAAGTAGAAGCGCACCAGGTGGTGGGCGGCGCAGAACTGGCGGACCTCCCGGTACTGGACGCCGTTGTGCATGGGGCCCATCTGGCCTCCGTCCACCAGCTCGTCCTTCTCGAACGTCTCCTCCCCCTTGGCCTTGAGCTGGTTGGTCGTGAGCAGGCAGTCCTTCTGCAGCAGGAGCACCAGGTCCTTGTACACGGCCCTCTGGACGGAGTCGCCCAGGATGACCACGAACTTGTTATGGAGCAGCTGCTGCACTTCGGAGGCCTGCAGGTGGACCATGACGCCCCGGGCGCGCGGCCTAGGTCTGTCCTTGACACGCGGCGGGTCTGCAGACTGCTGGGACACAAGGAGAGAGCGGCTGGGAGGGGGAGGGGAGGGGGAGGGGAGGGCCCCACCTCCACCCTGGGCAGGCCGTGGGCAAGCCTCGGGGACGGGGATGGAGGGTGGGCCTGGGGAGTCCAAGAGCAAGAAGGGAGCCGGAGCCCCGAGCCCTGCTTGGCCTGCTTGGCCCAGCCTCCCCTTGAACCTGCAGACTCCTGCCTCGAGGCTGGTGGAGGCCCGGCTTCCCCCAGGCCAGAAGCGGCCAACCCCACAGGCCCTCCCCTGGCTGGAGGTGGAACTGCCCCTGGGAAGGCAGCTCGGGTGCTGAGAACTGGAGAAGGGCGAGGCCGGCTCTGCAGCTGCTCAACAACCGGGACAGTGAGTGAGCAAGAAAGCACAGAGTGTTGTGATATGTTAAGCTGAAGAAGTTGCATGCCCCATGGGTGCCCTGTGCGGCTGCAACTATAGAAAAATAAGTAACATTGGAAGAAAATATCCCAGAACATGGTTTTTCATAGAAAACGAGGATTACGGAGGACTTGCCTTCCCTCCTTTTTTTGGAAATGTTATTTTATAGAATCGTACATTTCTTTTGATAATTTACAAAGAATTCAATGAAATGCAACAAACAGCAGAAAGGAAAAGTATGGGGCAGGTGAGTAGCTCAGTGGGTTAAGCGTCCGCCTTCAGCTTGGGTCTTGGCATGGATCCCCACGTCCCTTCCCTGCTCGGCAGGGAGTCTGCTTCTCCCTCTCCCCCTGCTCTTGCCCTCTGCTCACGCTCTCTCACTCTCTTGCAAATAAACAAAAATCTTTTTTAAAAAAAACAAGTACTTGTGCCAGGTCAGAAAACACAGAAACAGATTTAACAAGGAAGCAGCTGGTTTTTGCCAACAGGACTTGTAAAAAAGGGCAATAACACTGGAAATTATTCACATGTTGCAGCTGTAATATTCTTTGCTTTTCCACAGGAAGATCAGAATCTGCCATCCCCAAATATGCCATTTTGGCATAAGGATTATTTTGAGCTCAAGGCAACTAAGAATCAAAAGACACAGGAAGAGTTCTCAGCACTTCCCATCTCTGCCCAAAAGCGGTGTATAAATTTCCCTTCGAGGCAGGTGCGCCTTCCCCCACCAGGAAGAGTAGAGTCAAGGAAGTAGACGGGGAGCTGTCGACACCAAGATGGGTTTGCATTAACAGATTTTACTAAAATAGCCCCCATCTCCCATTAGTTCCCTCATAGATTTCCCAGTTCTTCCCCACAATTCTTCATCCCGTGAAACCCAAACCCCTTTTCCTTTGTTAAAATGATAGATAAGCCCCTGAATCTGCTTCTTTGAATTTCCATTCTGTGAACTCTTGTGCACACAAATATTAATAACAACTGTGTGCTTTTTTTTTTTTTCTTTGAACCCATCTTTGTTTAATTCACAGGGCCCTGGGTATTGAACCTAAGAGATTAGAAAGTTTTTCCTCCTCAGCACATTGCATAAGATGTTAAAAGAGTTGTGAAAACCATCTTCAAAACTTCGGTTTAGGGATCCCTGGGTGGCGCAGCGGTTTGGCGCCTGCCTTTGGCCCAGGGCGCGATCCTGGAGACCCTGGATCGAATCCCACATCGGGCTCCCGGTGCATGGAGCCTGCTTCTCCCTCTGCCTGTGTCTCTGCCTCTCTCTCTCTCTCTGTGACTATCATTAAATAAAAAAAAAAAAAAAAAATTAAAAAAAAAACAACAACAACAAAACTTCGGTTTATTTTAAAGCTGCCATTTGTAACCATATCCATTAATGAATAAAAGGTAAAAGTACACTTCGATATCACCAACAAATCTCAGGAGGGGAGGAACACGGCATTCACTTGATACACTTACACAGAAGCCAATAAAATCCATTGTGCCTTGATATTTGTAGGCATTTATGCATCAGTAAGCATTTTAATCGGGCTGGGTGGATAGCTATTATGAAATTACACATTCAGTTTTTATTTTTTATTTTTTTTTAAATTTTTTTATTTATTTATGATAATCACACAGGGAGAGAGAGAGGCAGAGACACAGGCAGAGGGAGAAGCAGGCTCCATGCACCGGGAGCCCGACATGGGATTCGATCCCGGGTCTCCAGGATTGCGCCCTGGGCCAAAGGCAGGCGCCAAACCGCTGCGCCACCCAGGGTTCCCATACATTCAGTTTTTAAAAGCTATCTTATTTGTGTGTTTAAATGGGTACAAGTACAAAAATGAAACCATGAAAATGGGTAGCATATAAGAGCTGCCCTAAGAGAATAGTCGAAAATATTAGCTTATTTTTTCCCAAAAGAATCTCCATTCAAATGTTTTTGCTATCAAGAAAAAAAAAAGGCTTAAAAAAAAAGAGGATATATAGCTTATTGTGGTGCAATAAAATAAAACCTTAAGCAAACTCCAAATCCCTTTGGGGCTCTGGGATGTTCCTTTGTTGACAGTCATTTGTCACATTTGTTAGGTGTCTACCAATTGCTCCATGCCGTCGGGGATATAAAAATGAGTAAAACCTGGTCACCCGGCAGGAGCAGATCAGAAATATTGACTGGTGGCTAACACAGAGTGCCAAATACCGTGGACTTTCAGGGTCTCTGTGAAAAAACAGCACTTCCCTGCTCTAGGTCCCAGTCTCCAAAGTGCTAAGTGAAGGGGGAAAACCTCCTCCTGCGGTTTCTTGGGTCCTCACGGGGCGCCCGACCTGCGTGCCCTCTCTGGGCTGGCACTCCGGTCCCATTGTGTGCCTAGTGCCCTAGGATACCAAACACCGTCCCCTGCCATTAGAGTTCTCTCCCTGCGGCGGGCAGCTCTGATGCCCAGGTGGCTCTCCATTAGGGTACTTTGTTTCCTGGGCCTAATGCATCCCTCCTCTGGGTGTGAAGCGCTCTAGACTGGGACTCACAGGTGGGAGTCCAATCCACTACTTAAAAGCTGTGGGAAAGAGGCACTGAAGTGCAGTGGTGAGGAGCACTACTTTCGGAGCAACACAACTTGATGTGAGGACTAAGTGCAAAACGGTTAGAACAACGTTTGACAAGTAGTAGGCACGAATAAGGGTTAGTTATTATATGACTGAGCAAGTTTCAAAACACCAGGTTAATGATCTATAAAAGGGGGAGGAGGGCTTACAGTGTCTGTCCTGTGCTTCTAGCAGGGTTCTGTGAAGAGCAGAGGAGATGATCCAAGGGAAAGGATAGAGCAAAAATTAATGTTTGTTGAATGGCTATGGGAAGCCAGTTGCTTCACGAATGAAATCCTATTTATGAGATGACTTTTATGATTTCTATTTTATAGGGAAGGATATTGATGGGATGGAGCTAACATTTAAAACCACAGACGCTGAAGGCTGTCTCTGTAGGGAGACCTCCTTTACAGCAGATGCCCTGCGGGCTGGGTCTGAATCCAAACGCTTGGCTCCAGTAGGGGAGATATCGGAGACAAGATAGAAGGGGAGTGCCTCAGTGTGTCTCTCTGCACAGGCGGGCAACCATTTCCTCTGCCTGCCCAGAAGAGGTGGTTTATGTGTATTTAGCCGGCTGGTGTGTGTGTGTGTGTGTGTGTGTGCGCTTTGAGTGACAGTATACATATTTCATCCCATACCTTGATCTCAACCAAGACACATACAAAAATTAAGTGACCTGGATTTTAAAATAACCAAAACACAACTCTGCAGACTCCCAGGCCCCTCAGGGTTTGAGAAATCCTGGCTGCCCTGTATCCCCACCAGTGCACTTAACCCACCCAGATGCTGCTCCAAGAGCTCAAGAGTCCAAACTAGGCAAGAACGTCTCCCTGGGAATCTCTCATTGTTCTTCTGGGATGGAACAGGAGAGCTGATCAGACTGTGGAAAAGAAGGGAGGAGGAAATGACTGGAAAGAGCCCTCTAGTTAGAAGTTAAACTGAAAGGAAATTCATGAAATTCTTGATAAAGAGCACCGGAGACTGTAACAGGATTAACAAATCAGACACCCACCCCCAGGACTATCGCCCTGAGAAAGAATCATTTAGACTAAAATACCATGCACTAAAATCAAAACCTAACAAAAACGAAGTGACTTTTTTGCAGGGGTGGAGTGGTGAATGAAGGCTAATCGAGAGCTAGAGCTGCTTAAAAAAAAAAAAAAAAGTTGGTAAGTTCCATTTTCAAAGCTTTTTATTTCCCAAAAAATGAAACAAAAAAGGGCTTTGAAAAACAGATTACTGGTCTTTTAAGCCTTGAAGGCTTCTTTCTTCAAATTTGCTCAACTCACTTATTAGCTTTCGTAGCTATTTTAGAGATAAGAGTGACTCACTCATTCATTCATTCATTCAGTAAACATCATTGTGAACCTGACACTATGCCACATGGAGGGCCTAGTGTAAAAAAAGGTAGTCTCTTCTTTCAAGAGCAGCAAGGAAAAGGACGAGTAAAAGGCAAATACAGAAGGTGCTAGCAGCTACAAAGGATGTATGCAAATCAAGTGCCAAAGCCAGCGGGAGGAGGAAAAGAGGGAAGGAGGAGGTATGTATACGCGTGATCCTGGCAGTCTTGTGATTTCAACCTCAAATTAAAACCCCTTCCCCTTAAAAAAAAAAAAAAAGTTTCATGATGATTCCTAAAATCATGTTAGTTCCATGCTATTTGGACTTTGACAGAAACGTGCATTAATAATGGCTACTGCTATAATAAATGACTTTCAAGCACTTTGCTTACATTTCTTTGTTGGGGGTAATTAATTTTTCAAGAGCTTCATAAGCCATGACCTATAAATCACAGACTATTGCTGTGTGACTATCACAAACCAAACACGTAACATTTGTTCTTCATTAACCAATGTGTTGTAGAAATTAGGTGGTTTTTTTTTTCTTCTTTTCTTACTGATCTTTAGTTACAGGAAGACGGACACAGAAATAGGTCAGTTGCTCTAGAGACCCTGCAGTGAAATCTTAAATCAGAGGTA